TCACCACCGCTGCCACCCCCGAGTCCATCAATGATGCCACCTGGCCGATCCATCTCGTTGGAGGTCTTCCTCTTTTTCTCTGACCCTCCACCCCACCCAGCATGACATCCGGGAAATGCTATGTGTAGCTAGTGAATAAGAATGTAGGCTTTAAAACGAGAATGCCTGGGTACATTCAGGCACCGCTTCTTATTAGCTGTGTGACCCTGAGCAGATCACTCAACCTCTCTGTAACTCAAATTCCTCATCCATAAAATGGGATGAAAACAGTACTACCTATATAGCTTCCCAGGGTTTGCGTGAGAATTAAGCAGCTCGCTGTATCTAAAACCTTTTTAACAGTGCCTGGCATAAATTACAGTCTATATCAGGGGTTAGCAAACTTTTTTTTCCTGTATTGGGCCAGATAGTAAATATTTTAGGTTTTTGAACATTATGATTCCTGTTACAATTACTCAAGTCTGTCTTTGCACTGTTAAACCACTTTGCACGGATGTAACTGCTGTGGAAACAGGTGCAACCTCTGTGGAGAATAGATAGTATGGAGTCTTCAAAAGGTTGAAAATATAAATATAAAACCCAGTGATTCCTCTGTTGTTGTTGTTGTTAAGTGCCGTCGAGTCGGTTCCGACCCATAGCGACCCTGTACAGGGTTTCCGAGGGTGTAAATCCTTATGGGAGTAGAAAGCCTCATCTTTCTCCCGCGGAACGGCTGGTAGTTTCGAACCGCTGACCTTAAGGTTCACAGCCCGATTCGTAACCACTACGCTACCAGTGATTCCTCTACTTGGTATATATTCTAGAGAAATAAGAACTGCAACATGAATAGATATGTACACGCCCATGTTCATCACAGCACTATTCCCAAAAGCAAAGTGATGGAAACAACGTAAATGTCCATCAGTAGAAGAATGGATAAATAAATGTTGATACATACAATGGAATACTATGCATCATTGAAGAGCAATGATAAATCTGGGAAACACTCATACAATGGATGACCTGGAGGATACTATGCTGAGCAACATTGTTGTTGTTGTTGTTATGTGCCATGGAGTCAGTTCTGACTCATAGCAACCCTGTACAGGGTTTCCGAGGCTGTAAATCTTTATGGGAGCAGAAAGCCTCATCTTTCTCCCGCAGAACAGCTGGTAGTTTCCAACTGCTGACCCTGCAGTTCGCAGCCCAGTTCGTAACCACTACAAAACAATAAAATATTGCATGATACCACTCTTGTAAAAAGCCAAGAAAAATTATTTGATGGTTAGCAGGAATGGGAAGGAAGGATGAGTAATTTACTGGCTAGACAATATACATGTGTTAACTTGAGGGAAGGGGGAGGCAATATACAGTAAGAAGGACTTTGGCAGAAAAATGACGTGGCATGAGAAGATACAGGAAAGAATGCAGAGTTAAAGACAACAGCGATAAATACTGTTACATACACAACCCTGCAATGACCGTGATCTGCAGGTTTAAGTATGGATAGACACAGAGAGGGAATGGGCGTGGGAGGAAGAGTGGACGCATACCCACAAATGTATAAAGGTTTGACAGAGGAGATCATAACATGGATATTTACAAACATATCCATGCATATGGTGAAGCATACAGGGAACAAAGTTATGAAAACTTGTAATTTTAATTATTATTGTTATCATCATCATCTTGCCACATTACCAAAGAGGAAACTGAGGCACCAAAGCTACATGATTTCTTTAGGGTTATACAGCTAACTGCTAAATTGTTGTTGTTGTTAGGTGCCATCGAGTAGGCACCGACTCATAGCAACCTTATGCACAGGAGAACGAAACACTGCCCGATCCTGGGCCAACCTCAGTAGTTGTTGTTGTTGTTGTTAAGTGCCCATAGCGACCCTGCACAGGCAGGGGCAATATTAAAGTCAATTTGTTTGCGCCAGGGCTTTGTAAACACCATGAGTATGTGTTTGTAAGTACTCACTTTGTAATGCACCTTTACACAGTTGTTGGTACTCTTTTTATATTTAGATTACATTTTCAAGCAAGGACCTCGTCTTTTGATAATCTGTACAAATCCTATCCCACTTCTGGGGGAGACTGAATATCCATCTCATCTTCCTCTTTTATACTCCAACCCCCCAAAATGGCAACTCTTCATTCATTTTCTTTGTATTCCTTACTTAAAATAGTTGTTCTCTATAAGCGGTAAGATTGATTGGAGCATGCTTTCATACCTTAATATTTTCCAATTCATGCCCCCAAATCTATCAAATTTGTGTGACAAATTCCGGAGGCGCTACCCTTACAATGAGTCCTGGTGTGGCGCTGTGGGTTAATGCGCCAGACTACAAAGCCGTTTGAACTGCAAGGTCAGTAGTTCAAGCTCACCAGCTGCTCCTCGGAAACCCTATACGGGGTCGCTATAGGTCCGAACAGAATTCGACCGGCACTTAACAACAACAACAATTACCCTCACAATGGAGGGGTACCCTCATGGATATGCACTTTCTAAATATATTCTCCTATGTAAACAGCAATGGCATTTGTTAAACGTTCTCGCACGGTCTGCTCAGCAGCAATCGCAGAAGCAGAGCATGCTGGCTCCAGTCGCTGGAGGGGACCCCAGGGCGGTGTCTTGCACGCGAAATGGACAAAACATCCAGCCTCTGCCGCCAGGCTCTCTCGCCCAGGGGAGCGTTCCTGAGGTCAGTCCCCGCTTGTGCTGAGAGGCGGGAGAATGTCCCAGGAAGGAGTTACAAGAGTGGGCCGCATGGCTTTGAGAGGAAATCAAGATTTCAGGTCTCATTTCCTATCTTGATTTCTCTCCTGGCTTGGAATCCACTTCTTTTCCCCACGCAGCTAGCTGTCCATTGGCCTCCACCCCACCCCAACCTCCTGTCCAAAAAAAGATCAGAGTCAAGAAGTAGAGAGAAAAAAAATATTCAGTGTTTGATACTGAGTACTTGTTTATACAGCCCAGCCGAGGAGTTGGAGAAGCCGGAGGGGAAATTCGGCGGTCAGCCCCCGGGCTCAGCGAGGCAGCTCTGCTCGCGCCCCGCCCGCCGGGTGGGGGTGGGGGTGGGACGCCTGAGCCGCGGGCGCGTGCGCTGTGAGGACCCAGCCCCGGCCGCCACCTCCCGCCGCCGTCGCGATGCCTATTTTAGTCAAAGCCGCTGCGGACGCAGAGACCCGGCCCGGGCGGAAGAGCATCCGGACGCGTAGACCAGCCGACGCTCCCGCGCTCGGGCACCCGTCGAGCAGCCGCGTGCGTGCCCCCCCACCCGAGCCCCGTCGCTACTGCCGCAAACTTTGGCCCGCGCAGCCCGGGTGTCCGGCTAGGGAAAAGCAAGGTAAGAAGCGCGAGGCGCACTTGCCGCCGGTTCCCCCACGGCACGCCGGGCTATTTGCAGCGTCGCCTTCCGTGGCTAAATCGGGAAGCGAAAGTTGGAACCCGGCTCGGCTGGGAGCAACTTTGCTGGCCCCGGCGTTGCTGCTGGTGGTACCTCTCCTTACCGGACGCGCCCTCGCACTGCTCGCTGCCCTTGGAGACCGCCCTTCTCCAAGGTCTGTGCGCTGCGGTCACTGACCCTCAGGTGTCCGCCGCCGCAACTCGGGATTGGCAGCGCCATTCACCCTGGGCGCTCCGGCTCCACCAGATACCCACTCCCGCGTTTAGCCTGGGGCACGTCCTTTGTGAACGCGGTTCCTTTCTCCTCACTGCGCCGGGTTCTCCAGGCTCGGGTCATGGCTCCTAGATCCCGGTGCGCCCTGGAACGCACAGTGAGAGGTGGGGCGCAGCGTCCACTCCTCAGTTCCCACGGCCCAAGAGCTCTTGGGGAAGGAGAGCAGTTGACGCTGACCCTCCTTTTGTAAGAAACCAGGTGCACGGTGCCTTTGGGGAGCATAGGTAGCTAGGGACCGGTGGTCCTCACTGTCCCCCGGCGTTCTTGTTTCCAAGGCTTTGGGAAACGGCATGTTGGACAGACAAGCCCCGGAAACTGCCTGCTTTGAAACATGAATAAGTGTTTATAGACTTAGCAACATAATGCTGTTTGCCAATCAGAACATGTGCAAAGATTCCGTTAGAATTACAGAATGAATTAAGTCTACCAGCATGCCGTTTGTTCTTCTTTTTCATTTCTGTTATTTACTGAAGTTTAACATGTTAATTTCACCATTTAACCCTTTAGCCCCACAAACACCCATTTGAAAATCAGTAGACTAATCAGGATTTTACCAGAACAGGTAATTTAAGGAGTTAGACTTTGAGGAACTAATGGCAGAAAGATAATCTCTTGATTTAGTACAAATTAATGTGACTATTTTCCAATTTACTCATCTAGCCTTCCTCTTTGGACCATTATCTGTGTAGTGTAAGGACAGTGCAGTGTAAGTAACTTACACCCATTATAACAATTAAAGTGAGCTGAATTTACTGATAAAATCCAACCAATACTTATTGAAAAGAGACAACTGGCATTTCACATTAGGCAGGGTAGCGGTAGTGGTTACGAATCGGGCTGCGAACCGCAACGTCAGCAGTTGGGAACTACCAGCTGTTTTGCGGGAGAAAGATGAGGCTTTCTACTCCTCTAAAGATTTACAGCCGCGGAAACCCTGTACAGGGTCGCTATGAGTCGGAACTGACTCCAAGGCACACAGCAACGTATTCAAGAGGGCTTCAATGAGTTCATGGAAAAATGGAATGAAAAGGTAATGGATTTTTTTTCCCCACAAGCTTTTCGAAACCTTCTTGTATACTTCATAAAGTGTAATGCATCTTAAAATATGTTTCAGAATGATCCCACTGTTTTAAAATTAATACCGTATTTGTGACGAGTAGATCATAGTTTTCCTATGTATTTTCTTGGGCAGGATTTCATGTTTTCTCTTTAAGAAGTTTTAAAAGCCTAAAATTAAGCTACAGTGGGTTGTCAATACAGATGTAATAAGGTGGAGAAGAGGAAGAATATGTATCGATTAAATTAATGTACATTAGAGTCACAGACTATTAAAACTTTAAGGAATTTCAGAGACCCTCACTATTCCAAGGCAAAAATAAACCAAACTAGTGCCAGTGACTTTCCCTGGCTACTGTAGCTCTCTGGTGCCTGTTGGTTGAGAAAGAACTTGAGTTTTCAATCTCAGCAAAACTAGACACTTTCTTCTAGTCTTTAATCCTGAGGTTTTCTTGTAGTTGTTAAGTGCTGTTGAGTTGATTCCGACTCATAGAGACCCTGTGTAGGATTTCCAAGGAGTGGCTGGTGAGTTTGAACTGCCAACCCTGCATTTCAGTCTGGCCTTGCGGTTGAGTGCTTATGCTACAGTGCTACACCAGGACTCCAATCCCGAGGTCTGGGGAGACTGAAAAGTGATATAACACACCTGTCATATTTGTGCCTTTTCGGTTTGGCTTCTATCTCTGCCTTAGTAGGATTCTCTGGCACACAGTTGTTGTTGAGTGCCGTCAAGTCAGTTCTGACTAGTGGGTTTGAACCATCGGTCTTGAGGTTAGCAGTCCAGTGCTTATTGTACAGTTCCACAAGGACTCAGTGGGACCTGCACTGTAGTTATGCAATATAGTTCATTTATCCAAAATTGCCAATCACTTGTTATATAAAATTTAAATTATTGGTAGTACCTTACATTTTAAGGTAGCAACTGCTTCTGATTAACTAGAAAGAGAAGGCTGTTTACAAAACATGGGATGTGTATTCTAAAGAATGTGGCAAAGTTCCTAATTTCTTTGATCCTTACTTGTCTTTAAAATGGAGATAATACCTATTTTTATGTTTCTTCATTGTAATGTAAGACATTATCCTTGCCTCATGATGTTGTTAAGTGCTGTTGATTCTGTTCCGACTCATAGCAACCCTGAATAGGGTTTCTGAGAAACAGCAGTCCAGTGCTTATCCTACAGCGCCACACCAGGACTCCCCCTGCCTCACAGGAGACATTAGAGTTAGAGAAACATCATAAAGGGAGGGAAAGCACATTCTAAAGTGCCATAGAAGTAGTTGTTGTTAAGTACTACCAAGTCAGTTCCGACCCATAGCAACCCTGTATAGAGTTTCCAATGAGCGGCTGGTTCGTTTGAACCACAGACCTTGCAGTCTACAGTCCAGTGCTTATTCTACACCACAACCACAGGATTCCTAGAAGTGGTAGTTAGTAATTTTGTTATGCAATGCTAGGTGGTTGATGTTAGCTTATGAGTAATTGTTGTTGTTATATACCATTGATTCTTATTCATAGCGATTCTGTAGGACTGTGAATTTTTAAGTGCCCTCAAGTCTGTTCCAACTCATAATGACCTTGTATAGAGTTTCAGAAGCTGTAAATCATGGGTGGGGAACCTTTTTTTCTGCCAAAATGTATAACATCGTTTGCGGGCCATGCAAGATATCAACCTAAAAATTAGCCTATATTTGATCAAACATTTAATTTACTCATCCCAAATGTAATGACTGAAACTGAGGTTGCCTTAACAGGGCCGGATGTCCTCCATCCCTGCTGCAAATCTTTATGGGAGCAGAGAGCCTCACCTTTTTCCCTCAATAGGACAGAGTTGTTGTTAAATGTTGTCCAGTTGGTTCTGATTCATAGCAACCCTGTTTAGGGTTTCCAAGGAACAGTTGGTGGGTTTGAACTGCTGACCTTGTGGTTCTCAGTCCAATGATGATCTTTCAGTGTCCCACCCTGTCCTATATGATTTTCAAGGCTGTAAATCTTCATGCCACCATTTGTCTATCAGTTTGTGGTACTGTGGTGGCTTGTGTGTTGGCTGTGATTCTGGAAGCTATGCCACTGGTATTATAATTACCAACAGGGTCACCAATGGTGGACAGATTTGAGGTGAGCTTCCAGATGAAGACAGACTAGGAAGATGACACTGGCTACTTCTGAATATTTAGTCATTGAAAACCTTATGAATAGCAGTGGAACACTGTCAGCACCAGAATATTGAGTGTTGAAACATGCTGAGCACCAGAATATTGTCAGATGATATCCTTCTCCAGTGACTGGTCCCTCAATTGTATCTATAGATCATGATAATCTATGGACAACATTATGGAGAATGAGTATTCTGGAACATTTAATTATGCTCATGAGCAACCTGTACATAGACCAAGAGGCAGCTGTTTGAACAGAGCAAGACAACTCTGGATGGTTTAAAGTTACGAATGGTGTGTGCCAGGATTGTGTTCTCTCATCATACTTATTCAATCTGTATGCTGAACAAATAATCCGAGAAGATGGATTATATGAAGAAAAATATGGTATCAGGATTGGAGGAAGACTCATTAACAATCTATGATATGCAGATTATACAACCTTGCTTGCTGAAAGCAAAGAAGACTTAAAATACTTACTGATGAAGATCAAAGGTCACAGCCTTTGGTATGGGTTGTACCTCAATGTAAAGAAAACAAAAATCCTCACCACTGGACCAATAAACAACATCCATGTAAATGGAGAAAAGATTGAAATTGTACAAGACTTTGTTTTGCTCAGATCAACTATCAACACTCATGAAAGCAGCACTAAAGAAATCAAATGACATATTTCATTAGGCAAAGCTGCTGTAGTAGATCTCTTTAAAGAACCAAGGTGTCCGTTTGAGGACTAAGGTGCACCTGACCCAAGCCAGAGTATTTTCAGTAGCCTCACATGCATGCAAAAGTTGAGCAGTGAATAAGGAAGACCATAGGAGAATTGATGTATTTGAGTTGTGGTATTGGAGGAGTATATTGGAACTACCATGGAGTGTCAAAAAGAACAAACCAATCAATGTACTGGAGGTAGTACAGCCAGAATGCTCCTTGGAAGCCAGGATGGGGAGATTTCGTCTCTCATCCACTACTGTATAAGAGCTTCTTATATAAGTAATTGTTGTTGTTGTTAAGTGCCGTCTATTCGGTTCTGACCCATAGCGGCTCTGCATAGGGTTCCCAAGGAGCCACTGGTGAGTTTGAACCACCAACCTTGTGGTTCAAACTGACCTTGAGGTCGAGTGCTTATCCTATAGTGCCACACCAGTGATAGAAGGCAGTTAATCTCATTCTCCCTCCTGCAGAAGTTATGAGGTTTATTCTGATTTGGCCATTAAAAACAAATTTTGTATGAAAGGAGTCATTAATAATGTCCTCATTCTATCAGAATTATATTTCTATTAATGCAGACATTTGTAACATAAACTTTTATGATTTCTTTCCTTTTAGAAGTAAATCAATACCTAAATCAGCTGTTGTTATTTTATTTATTAAATAATTCAGATGTTGTAAAGAAATCTTTAATCTACTTGATGATTGTATTCACTTTGTAAGTGTATGTGTTTGTATCATTTTAAGAGAAGTAGAAATCTTCCATATGTATTTATTAACATTCTTTCAACATGTCTAACCAATATTAATTATTCCACGATCTAAGACCTTTACTTTAGTGTTGCAAAGGGTTAAAGCACTCAGCTACTAACCAAAAGGTTGGAGATTATAGTGCTCCCACAAACACCTCAGAAGGAAAGCCTGGCTATCTACTTCCAAAAAATTTGTTAGGTGCCATCGAGTCAGTACCGACTCATAGAGAACCTATGTACAACAGAATGAAACACTGCCCAGTCCTGGGCCAACCTCACTACTGTTGCCATGCTTGAGTCCATAAATGCTGCCACTTGGCCGATCCAACTCATTGAGGGTCTTCCTCTTTTTCTCTGACGCTCCATCTTACTAAACATGATATCCTTCCCCAGCGACTGTTCCCTCCTGACAATATGACAGTATGAGAGACAAAGATTGGCCATCCTGGCCTCCAAGAAGCACTCTGGCTGCACTTCTTCCAACATAGATCTAAAGCCCATGGCACTTTCAGTATTCTCCTCCAACACCATAACTCAAAAGCATAAATTATTCTATAGTCTTTCTTATTCACTGTCCAGCTTTCGTATGCATATGAGGTTACTGAAAATACCATGGCTTGGGTCAGGTGTTCCTTAGTCCTCAAGCTGACATCTTTGCTCTTCAACACTTTAAAGAGGTCTTGTGCAGCAAATT